GTCAAGGGGAACGGGACCAATGTGGGCACAGTCATTTCCCTGCTCTGCCCACCCTGGCAACGGTCGGTGGAAAAAAATATTACGTGCATCATGGGCACCAACGGCCCTCAATGGGACGAGAGGGCCTTCTGTCAGCGTAAGTCACAACAGAAAAGTTACAACCAAAATGTAATTTGCCTGCTGATGCAGAAAACAATTAAAACAATAAGTAAAGTTATGCGATGATACATAATAGAATGGAATAAATAGTGTTATAGCAACATTAAAAGTAGGAATGCTGATGTTTCTGCTTAGACTGAGTAATAATTATGTTTTAGGACGAATAAAAAAACCTGGAAATAAAAAATAAAAATGTATTTAGTTTTTTATCCTACTTGATTGGCTGGCACAAAGATTATTTAAAATTATTTTAAAACTGCCAGTCTCTGTGGACCACAGCAGTCAAACCTTAATAATGTGTTTGCATGTGTCACAAAGAGTATTGACCAGCCCAGGACAGGGTGGATTTCACATTATTCCCATATTTTAATTAATGACTAGTGATTTTTTAAGCACACAGAACAAAACAAAAACAAATCAATTAATTAATTTTTCTTTTATGCTTCAGCTTTTTCCCCCTATGGGGACTATGGTTTCCGTGTAGCTGTCCTGGCATCCATTATAAGCTCAGGAATAATCCTGCTCATGTCTGTGGCCTTCATCACCTGCTGTTTACTGGACTGCATCGAAGATGAGAAAAGCAAAAACCAAAGGTGAGAGAATTTATGGACAAGTCTTGCTGTCTTACAATGTCTTAAGTGATCAACAACGTGCACCTAGGATAAGTGGAGGCGTTTCGGTTTTTGCACAGATATTAAATGGGAAACAATTACTTCTGTGTATTTTGTCTCACTACGACCAGGAATGTAAGTCTAAGTTTTGGGAATATGAGATGACAGAACAACACAACAAAAGTTGTGTGTTCAAAAAGAACTCCTTATAGTGTTATCTTTGTTTTTTCCCCCCACCTCCAAAGTGCATAATCTGCCAATCATCATGATTGGCTGTTCTATTGGGTATAAAGTCAAGACTAATGAGTTTCCAATGCTCAAAAACATTATCGGGTTAGAATAAACAAATACAAATGAAATAACTGCAGCCAATAACAGTATGACACATAACCAAGACTGAATTTCTTGAAAATCAAGGATTTATTGTTTTTCCACCACTAACTGATTATTATGGAGCCGTAATCATTCAAGGTTTCAAACTATTCAACAGTATTTCTGTAATTACAGTTGTAACTCCCAATAAGAGGATTATTTACAGCCTTTTCCTTTTACACAGTTTTCACATTTTTAAGTCATTATTATTTTGTGTCATTGCCACAATGATGATACAAAAAAAACACTATTTCCACACATGTCCCCCTGTCACGCAAGGGTTTTATATTCTTCAAACCGGACTTCTCAGAACAAAGTCTTACTTTCCCCATTTTTACCACAAGGTGATGTCTAGAGAGTTACTAAAGGGACAGACAGAAATCAGAAAAGTTGGAAAAAGGAAAGGATGATTGAGCGAGGGGTCAGAGTTGAGGACTCAAAGGATTGTGATATCCTAGTGCTGTATAAATGTGTTTAAATATGTGCTTCTTATGGTTTGGCTTACGTTGATGACCAACGTCTGTGCTATGCTATCTATCTATGTGCAAATATTCTAAATGCTGGGTTCTCTGTCACTGAGCCTAGAGGGTTGGTACAGATGGAGGAACAAAAGAAAGGAGGAACCACTTGGAAGGTTTAGGTCTCCCAAAGCCATCCTTGCTTTGTTTGTCTGAATTAAAGCTTCTGCTTTAGGCTCTCCAACCTCTAATGGATTTTGAATTCTCTCTTCTAGTAGATATAACAAAGTATATATTTGAGATAATGTGATTAAAAAAAAGTAGAGGTGCCCCCCCCCCCAAGATTATTTTCCCTAAACAGTTTTTATTACTTTTTGTAACAGAGAGTCTGATGGTCCCTCCTGGGAGGGTCAGGACCAATGGCAGGAGGACAGAAGGTCTGGTTACAGTCATAAAGGCTGGAACAACAACAATAACAATGCAGAGGAGAAGGTGCTACCTTGGTGGGAAACTGCAAACCCAGTCATGTGTGAAAACTTTCGACCGTGCAGGTAAAGGCAAATCTTAGAGTGAAGTAGATTCCAATTTGCTTGGGAGCGTCAGAGAAACATGACTATCTCCTCCTTTACAGATGTCAGCAGCAGTACGCCAGTGGTTCCCCAATGCCGCGTCTTGCTGCCCTTCCTGGACAGGACTATGACCAGCCCCTTTTACCCCAAAACCTGTCCGCTTGTCCACCTGAGTATCCAGGACCTCCTCTCTCCCCGTGTCCAGCTGCAAACTCAGGACTGGTTCACTTCTCAGCACCGGGGTCGGGACAGGTGTGGCAGTATGCGGGACAGCCGTACAATATGTCTGAAGTCACCCCAGGAAACGCAAGGAATATAAACACAAACAGGAATATAACCCCCAAAGAAGTTTCCATCAAGATCATATCAGTGTGAAGCTTTGTTTCTGACAGAGTAAAGATTTAAGTTGACTGCATTAAGTTTAACAACTTCAACTCATAAATGAGTCATCAGAAAGCAGTATGTTTGGGGAACAAAACAAAAATCCTGAAAGTCTGTGGTACTATGGTTTATAGACACTCACCTGACACCACAGCTTCTGCTGCAAATCAAACTGTGATAGCACACTGCCCCCTGGAGGAAGCTATGAGCCAATGCAGTTTTAGTATGTCTGCCATCCTGGGAATACAAAATCCTGACATTAAATGATGTAAACAGTTTCACGCCTAAAACAAAATCTCTAAAGGTTAAGGATGTTCACTGGAAAATACATATCAATGTGCAAGAATCTGCTCTAGAAATGTTTTGACTTTCAATGCCTGCATAATGATGTCAATAATGATTCAAACTTATTAAATCCTTTTAAAATAGAGTGGTGCTGTTAAGTATGTCCACTTTGAAGGTATATAGGTAAAAATGTACCAGCGGCTGAGTGAATCAGTGTTTGTTACTGAAAGCTGCAGCCTCCCAGCTGGTTGTCTGGGTGTAATCTAGTATTATCCTGCCATGGAGGTCAGTCAGGTCGCGGTGTGGGACAAGGCAACAGAGACTGTCCAGGGACTTTAAAGTGAGTCCCAAATGCTGTTTGCGTGCTATGGCACGACTGACAATCGAAGGTAAGGTTTTTGGACCTATGGCTACTCTGCATAGATAGATAGATAGACAGACAGACAGACAGACAGACAGACAGACAGACAGACAGACAGACAGACAGACAGACAGACAGACAGACAGACAGAGTGTCCAACTATTTTTGTTGCATCCTTAGCTAAATGTGGCAATAAACCTCTTAGTAATTTATGTACGGAGCAGGGCTAACTCTATCTCCAGATTAAGTCGAGACATAAAATCTGCACTAATCATTTAGCTGCATGCTTTCATTGAGAGGGAAGTCTGTTTGCATGATGGCAGTGGTTCTGTAGCAATTTATGCTGTGTACCACTAAAATGACACACAGTAGGTTGCCTATGTACTGCTCCTAACGTATATGAAAGTCTTAAATAAACAAGCAAAATGAAATTAATCATGCAGACAGAAATTTGAGCAGATAATTGGGTGCTTTTTTTTTACTTTTACTATGTGTGGGAAGTGTTTACCTATAAAAACCTCACTAAACAAAAATAAGCACATGTTGCAAGCATTTTAAATATAGCATAACTTTAATATATAATTTATAATGTGACTGATTGGTTGGGAACATTCTACATTTTATCAAGAGGTCAACCTTCTAAAATGTTTTAAGAGATGAGAGGAGCCATTGGATTTACAGAACATTGTGAGTTACATGAGGATTCAATAGACTACCTAGGCTTTGTAAAGCTGTTGCAGAACAGTCAGCCTTAGCTTTGCTCATTTTATTTCTTTCAGAAGTCAGTGAAATATGTTTTATAGGTCTGAAACACACATATGTATAGCCAGAGCAATTAACTGGAACACTAGTCCTGGGATATAAGCCTGTGCCCTGGTAACATTCGCCAATCAAATAAAACAAAAAACAAAAACAGTTTTGAATATCCAGGAGGTGCATAAAGATACATCTCACAAAATTACAAGAAGGCCAGAAAATACAGGAGAAATTAAAAGTCTAAACAATTATAAAAAATACAGTTTGTGAAGAGGAGAACATATTTAGAACATATAAGAAAACTATACATGTTCATAATTTTAATTTTCTTATGTTCTTATTTAAATTTTAAAAACAAAATAAAATAAAAAACAAAAACAGTTTTGAATATCCAGGAGGTGCAGGAGGTCAACTCAATGTGTTGCTTTAAGTTTTAAGTGGACGTGGCTGACATAAAGACTTGTTTGTTAATTTCGGGTGGGCACAGTTTGCACTAGTTTTGTTGTTGTCCGAGTCTTCCTTTGTCAGTTCATTAACTTTGGGGTCGCAAGGGGTGCTGGTGCCTATCTCCAGTTGTCAATGGGCAGGTCGCCAGTCTATCACAGGGCAACACAGAGACAAACAGGACAAATAACCATTCACTCACACATAAGGAGAATTTATGGAAGCCAATTAGCCTAACAGTCATGTTTTTGGACTGTGGGAGGAAGCCAGAGTACCCGGAGAGAATCCACACATGCTTTTTCCTGTAAAGGGATAAAAACCTAGAAGGTATTTTTTGTTAAAAGAAGGTTGAAATCTCTGTTTAAATCAATTACAATGGAAAATTGTTAGGCCTAAGCATGGCTTTTTGTTTAGTAGATTAAAACAATAAAAAGGAAAAATATTACTTGTAATCTTTATTTCAAAATGTGTTCTTAGTACCTTAGGGGGCCCATTCCTTCTGGTGTTTAATGAGCTACAGTTTGAGCAGAATAGGGGTGGTCTTTTTTCATGCTGAAAAAAATATATTTACTGATGTCCTCTTGATCTGTACTGACCAGACACAGAAGACTATGATGAGCAGCTCTGCAGCGATGCTCAGTTTCTGTGCTCTCATCAGAGGATGGACACTGAACTGGTCGACAGATTGGTGCTGCAGCTCAACAGGATCTACCCCCAGATACTCAGTGACAACGAAGCCTGCAAGGTCACTTTATACATTATTAGGCACAAGTAAACATCCACAAATATTTGCACTTGAAATACAAAATACAATACATTCCCATGTATTCATATTTTGTTTCACACCAAGCCTGCAAGGGGTATTTGTTGCTAAAATGCCCAATCTTTGTTTCATTTGTTTAATCTGTAACATAAAATATTTTAGAGTTAAAAAAAACTCTAAAAGTAAAGTATTTCTCCTGGCATTTCAACCTAACAAAATGTCTGGCATGTATATAGCATCTAATCTTAGTTATTAAGATTTGGTGACCTAAAATTACATTTTCCCAAAGCCTCTTACCAAGTTTTTGGGACTTTTCTTTCCATCCCTGTCCTCTTAAGTATACATGATTTTAAGATAAATATGCAGCTTCTTCTAGTCCCATCTGAGTGACAAGAAGAAAAAATATATGTTATGATGGAGGTCTATTTTTGAAATTGACTCAGCAGTAAAAATGAATCTCTTTATTTTTAAGCATACCAAAACATCTGGGACAACCTCCTGTGACCTACTCTGTTTCTCTGGGAGCAGTTTAGAGATGGCCATTTGCTTTTCCACCAGAGATGCTCACAAGTGGATAAAATAAAGACCATAAAGACATGTTGACGTAAAGATATTCTGGCCTGACCTGAGTTCTAACCTCAACCAATAACCCCTTGTTCAGACTTTGAATCAGGTCCTCTCTTCCAGCATCAGCATCTGACCTCGTAAGCTTCCAAAAACTCAGAAATTCAACCACAACTCATTGATAACCATAAGAACGTCTTTGGACAGTATATTTGATTTCAAATAGTATATTAAGCTTGAATAATAGAAAATATTTTAGTTTACAAAAGTAAAATAAGGGTAAAGTAAAAGTAAAGTCTGGGGTTAAAGGTCTTGCTCAGGTACCCAGAGTGGCAGTCTGTTGGAAGCAGTGGGACTTGAACTCAGAAGCTCCGGGAGCCAAGCACAATGCTCTAACCACTGGGCCAACACTCCCCATATAAAATAATTAATAAAAAAAACAAAAAAAAAAAAACACTCCTTCCGCAGACTTTTTGTCTTTGGTTTAATGAACTAACCGAGGCCTTATTTAAAGGAAAATCTGATGAAGATTACTGCTAGCTCAGTGAAATTTCCTCTAAATGGCCTCCTGCCTCTCTGCAGTTCAGAAGCCTGAGTGTCCCTACTGAGGTGAGGCTACGTGAGCTGCTGATGTTCCTCCACGGGAAAGGTGACGAAGCATGTTTCGAGTTCTACAGAGCACTGCACATTCATGCTGAGGACATTTACTTCAGCTTGCCCACTAGAACCAGAAAGAGAGGTAAAGCCCTGCGAATGAGTGAGATTCACTCAAACTGTTGTGGTTTTATCAATTCAGATGCAGCATTTTCAAAAAGGTGTAAACTGGGGCAGAAAAGGTGGAGCACAATGTGACATCAGTTTCCTGTTAAAACCAAATATCCTGTTTGTCATGGTTGTGTGTTTAGACGTGTCATCTTGTGGGTTTTAAGAACTGACTTTTGGTTATAATTTTGTTATAATTACAAACACATTTATGAGTTTCTTTTTAAATGTAGTCTTTGTATTAAAATGGAAGGCCGTAGTCAATGTTCTTCTAAAGTCTGTCTAGTGCTGTTTAACCTCTTTGACTCTCTGTCTCAGAGATGCCGGACTCAAGAGGTTCGATTAATAAGGCTGTCATCCCAGAGCGATATGTGCTTAATAACAGAGGTAAATCCAGTGAGAAGATGTATCCGAATACCAGCAGTCCAGTAGATCACAAGATGAACATGAATATTGTCCAGAGCTCAGCACTGGATCAGACATTCCCCCTTTAGCATTGCAAAATAGGGCCACAGTAAACATCGTTGGGTGATAGGATCCAGCAAAAGCTCAAATCTAATTCCAACTGAGAAACTGAGAAAGAATGAAGAAAAGAAATAAATGTGTCCTTTTTCTTCAAACTCATGATTTCACACTGTTTTGTGTTGGGATATTACAAAAGAGACTATAAACATGCCAAGGATTTTCATCATAACTCTTCAAAAGATGAAAAAAGGTCTGGGGTGTCAGAACTCAGAACGTTCGACCCAGAATTCAGGCAGACAGACTGAAGTGATTTATAAAAAGCGCTCATTAACTGCTCATTGATCTATAGCTCGTCAGTGTGGACTAGATAATTGGAATCTTCTGTAGAGGTAAAAACACAGGTTAGTGACCACGTAACTCTGACGGGGAATGATAGTGAGCATGTGAGTCACTAACCTGGTTTTTAAGTTCAGTCTGAGCCAAGAAGAAGGAGTGGAATCCAGCTGGATGATTTCCCACAGCATGCAGCGGAAGCCGCCCAGAGAGTTCCAGGAGTAGAAGCCAAAGGTGCTGCAGGGCAGACAAGGAAGAGCAGAAGTATCCGGAAGGAGAATCAACAACCAGTGTCGATGAGGAAACACAAGTCCAGGCCAGAAGAACTGAGATCCGAAGAGGTACCTAAAGGAAATCCAAGCCGGTTCAGGAGACAGATCCAAGGTTGTTAGAAGGCAGAATCCAAAGGATGTCCGAAGACAGGTCAGGCAAACAGATCAGAACAGGGGCATGTTAACTCCGGAGTACATGAGCAGAAACTAGTCAGGATCAGGCAATCAGAATAAAACACAGGGTACACTAGGCACCTCTTGCCTACAGCTCCAATAATCTGCCACCTATGGCTGGGGCCAAACAGTTTAAATAGGAACTGGAACAGATGGATCTGATGAGTGATAATAGAAAACGGAGCAGAGCTAAGCAGGTGGATGAACTAAACCAATAATCCATTCATCAGTGACAAGATCATGACATTGGGTATGAATATGTTTGCAAATGTCTAAACCCTTATGGTTAACAAAATCTGACCTCTGGATTCTTTTATTTACTCACGTTAACTTTATCCAGAAGTAAAAGAGCTTGAGCAATAGACAGACACCTCTGGTAGATAAAAAAAATAATGTTACTGTTCACTATCCCAGAAAATACATTAATTCTGTCTTTAGGCTCCAGCTGTGGGAATAACACTTGGCAACATTCCTGGATGGGTGTTTTATTAATGTAATAACCTTATAGTTTGTGTTAGAATGGATTCTGCTTCTTCTGATCAATTCATTCTTAATCTGTATGAGCTCTGCCGCACCTTTTGACCCCTGCAGCACCAGAGTGCCCCCCTGCACTGTACCACTATACCATTCATCATCCCATTATATCCAGGGCTTTGGTTAGATGGGTTAGTTAAGTTCAGGTTTAAAGGCAGCTTCCTCTGTCGTGCATCGAAACTCAGCAGTCAAACTGTTGAAATATGACTATGATATCGGTATAGGTGATTTCCCACACTTTGTTTTCTTGTAGTTAAAGTGTTTGTTGGAAAAGATGAGTCATTTTTCTTTTCCTTTTAAGGACCGATGTTCTTCCTGAGCTGTTTTAGCTTGGCGGTTGGCATTGCATTTCTCTATTATTATGGAGGTGAGTCATGCAAAATAAAAACGTTTTATTTCCTCTTTATTTATATCTCTAACCCTTTTTTCGTCTATTTCTACAAACAGAATCTCAGAGACACAAGTGCACAGAAGCAATGCTTTACTGCTCTATGATAAGATTTAGTAAAGATGCCAAGGACGTTTTTGTTTCCTACGTGGAGGTCGGAAAGTTGAAATAAGGAGGATGGGAAGCTTCAGAGGACAAACCTTTGCTCACTTTCCCTCGCTGTGCCAAACCAGTGTTCATCCATGGGGAACTGTATCATTTCTGCTTGGGTTCTTTGTGAAAAAGAAATGCGATCAAAACAATATTTTAAAACTTCAAACTACACCACATTTGACTGAAAAGCAAACCTATGAATTAAAAGCAGATGTAGCATTTATGGGTTAGATGGCTATGCTGTTTGTGTGATGTAAAATGCTGATAACAATGACTGTTGTTCACATCAGGCTACATAATGTTTTTTTTTTTTTATCTTTCTCATTTGTCATAAATATCTCTGTTCTGCTAGTTGCCCATGTGCAGCCGAGCTTTGCTGTTATGGTGCTACTATCTGTTTATTGTAGGAACAGTTTTCAGAGAGACATTTTGCATGTATTAGAGATGTAGCAATCATATAGCCAGAGAAGTCATTTGGCCAATGTTTTACTTAAGGGAGAAGGAGTTGATGATCAGTGGGTTAAACACCTAAAGTAGGAGAAGTCAGTTTTTTTTTTATCCCCTGATAATTTTTCTGTTGTATTTAAAGACAATCTTTTTTTCTTTCATTGACCCAGAATCACAATCAGATAAAAATGTTATCTGGTAAATATCTTAGGTGTACACACATAGCTGTTAAATGTCAAACCGATTAGTGTGAAGTTGTACTGCTATAAAAAACTGCTTCCAGTTATATAGTGCCAAACTCCAGTTCTCATAAGAGGGGGCTCTTATGTTATCTCCTCAAAATGCCAAAGATCATCTGAACGGTGCAGTGCACCCACTAGACTGGAGTTTAAACACCTTAACTTAGAATTAGACTACAGGAGCTTTCTTTCAGTAGCCAATATTTCCATCTAACATGCCCTATAACACATGTTCTTAAATGCACAGTACCTAAAATTTATTTACAGCATCATACATTTGTGGTATTGAACAAATATATAGACACTTAACCTCCGATTGCACCTTGCGCCCCACGATGGAAGCCCACTGCTCCCTAAGGGTATGGTTTGAATGCAAAGGTAAATTTCTCCAATATGAGATAAATAAAGTTCAATTATTATTATTTTTATGAACTTTACTACTGTGGACGCTTGAAGCTGACTGCTGTGGTTAAGGAAGTTGGTTATATTTCTCTTTACACCAGAGGGCGCTGTTTTTCATTCAAAACAAAACGGCCTCAGGGGTCAACCAGGTTGTTCTGGTGTTTCTTTTTTTTTTAATATTAATTATTCTCTTCTTTAACGCTGCTATATTATAAGAGAAACCTGCCTTGTTTCCCTTAGACTTGAAAATCAGTTAATAGAATAGAATAGAATAGAATAGAATAGAAT